TCTTAATGCATGATGTCCATAACAATTTAACCCCCCCTAATCTTTCTGGTTTGTTCACTCTTTCCCACCAAATACACAATCATAATACCCGATCTTCATCTGCCGGTAACTATTACATAAACTATTCTAGGCTAAATCAACATAAAAACTCATTCTCAAGGATTGGTTGTAAAATTTGGAATAGCATCCCATGAAACTTAAGGAATCTTCCAAAAGATATTTTCAAGAAAAAGCTAACAACAATATTATTTCAAAATCTTCAAGTTCAAGATAGTTATGTTGACGTAGAACGAATAATCAATGATGTGTCAAAAGTTAAACTTAGTTAATAGTAGTGTACAACTTATGTATTCTTTTATTTATTGTCATGTGTTTCTATTTCTGTATTTTTATCTCATACTGTCATTTCTGCTTTTAAATTAATGATTTAATATTTAATTTCTGTTTCTTGTATATTTATTAAATCTTTTGTTGAACCGAAATTTATGTAACATGTTTTAGCGTCCACACACTGCCCGCTGAGACTGGGTATGCTATATGTGGGTAGTGGTTGATTATGTTAAGTTAAGTTAAGTTTTTTTTTTAAGTTAAAATCTCACAAAGAAAGAGCATCGTTTGCAAAACATAAAATCGATGTTTGTGCTTTCCCATACTACAAGTACAGCAGTGTTTTTGCTTGATTCGAGAATATGATGTATAAACAAAGGTAAATAAATATCTGAAATGAAAAAAAAAAGACACACGGGTCTGTAACAAGAAAACATTGATAAATACCGACTTCCTCTGTACTTCAGTTTAATTATCCTTTGATATACCCTCATAGAACAATTCAACAAATACTTCTTCTCATGTTGTGTAACTTTATTTAATCTTACCCTCTTCGTATTAAGCTTACATTCTTTGTAACTCTTCTAACCTTCACATAGCGACGTAACCATGAGGAATTTGGTATGCTTGGACAAAATTATACGCTCGTAAACAAATTCCTTCAGTTTTCTGCCCTTTCTTCTGAGACATTTCAGAGCAGCTTCTTGTACTCTACTGGGTTCTTGATTACGTCTAAATACACCATTGTGTTTACACGTAAACATAATACGAGATAGCTCGTTTGATATAGCAGGTTTCGCTTGATATTTAACAATTATTTGCCAAAGGCAAGGTGAATATCGTTGAATAATCCCCAAGACGAAGTCGAGGGGATTACTCGACAATATTCACCGAACCTGAGGCGAATAATTGTTTTAGTATAATTTCAGAGCTGAACAACAGAGAAATATCTAAATTCATAACATTTTAGTAACATTTATTAACATTTTTTTTTAACATTTAATATAAACCGCGAGGTGCCGTTTATATAGCGTCATATAAGGAACCGCTCGACCAATCAGATTGCTGGAAACTCTTTGCTCAGCTCTGAAATTATACTAATCCTCGATAGAAGGTTCACTCGCAAAGGATCGCTCGGAAATTGATCTCTCGTAAAGTTCGCAGACCGACCCGTTTCCAAAACGCTCCACAGATTTTAGTGTGGGTCTACTGATAACGGTGTGTGACTTTTTAGGTGTATTGAGCGTAATAGCCATCAAATTTCTTACGCATACATTAAGCAATCAATTGCCCACAAGGGCAGCCATTACTTGAAACTTTGAAACCATGCGCTCTAAAGTTCAATCTACTCATGCGCTTACACTTCACGCATGCGTCATAGTGGAACTGGCGTTTTGTGACCGAAGACAAAAAAAACAAAAAACCAAGCCGAATTTATACCTCGGGCGTTTCCTTCAGAAAGCCCGAGTAAAAAAATCAAAATTATGTAAGAACACATTCGATCAAGATGGTTAAGACCCACCTACTCATGGGTGATTCCATGTTGCGGACATTACATTCGGAGACTAAAATTATTAAACCCCAATTTAAATGACAAAATGTTCAACAAGGGTGATCAAACATGTCTAGAAATACCTTTAGTGTGCCCTTTGCACCTAATAAAAAGATGGTTTAGTGAGCTCTCAAGACCTTGAAGGTATGAGTTGAAGAAAGTGTATTGCGGACATTACATGTCAAACAAACACTTTTTAAAGTAACTTTCTTTAAAGAGATTTTTCTGTGAAATGATCTTTAACCTTCAGCAGAAAATAATTGTGCTTTCAAAACAAACCGCCCAAAATAATTGAGCTTTCCAAACAAACCGCCGCCCAGTTAGCCCAATGGATAGTGCGCTGGACTGTTGTGCGGGAGGTCGAGGGTTCGAGCCCCGGCCGGACCAACACTCAAGGTCTTAAAATAATTGAGAAGAATTTGCTACCTTTCTATAACATCAAGAAATGGTTAGATATTCTAGTCTTCTCGGATAGGGACGAATAAATGGAGGTCCCGTCTCCTGCAGGGTTGGGG